ATTGGAGTCAACGCACCATATTATTTTCTTCACCCAAACCTAATCTTTGTTTTTTTTTTTCAATAATTTTATTTATTTATTTTTTTTCCCCCGAAGCCCCAGTAGATAGTTGTATGTCATAGCTGCACATCCTTCTAGTTGCTGTATGTGGGACGCGGCCTCAGCATGGCCGGAGAAGCGGTGTGTTGGTGTGCGCCCGGGATCTGAACCCAGGCCGCCAGCGGCGGAGCGCGTGCACTTAACTGCTAAGCCACGGGGCCGGCCCTTTTTTTTTTTTTAAAGATTTTATTTAGATTTAACTCATATTTTTTCCCTATCTCTACACCTCTCCTTTGAAATTGGTCATCCCATCTACCTTTTCATACACCCGAGGCCCAGAAAGGTAAGAGAAATTCAAGATGGAGGAGGAAAATGGAAAGTGGGGCTGATCCTAGGTTCTAGGCGTACAGCTTTTAGTTTTTGGTAGGACAACTTGAGGGGGAGAGATGGAGAAAAATTGGGGGGAATTATTTTTAAACAGTATAAAGCATCCCATTTTGAGTACTTGGATCTCAGTATAATTTTTTCAAAGTTAAGACTATGGATTTTTCTTTTAAAAGCATTTTTAAAATGCTCAGGAAAATAAATATAATTTTTTAAAAGAGTTTAATTTTTTTTATCAAGCAAGTTTAGCTTTTGGTGTACAGGCATCCCTCGGAGATATTGCAGGTTCAGTTCCAGGCTACCACAATAAAGTGACTATTACAATAAAGTGAATCATGCGTATCTTCGTTTCCCAGTGCATATAAAAGTTATGTTTACACTATACTGTAGTCGATTAAGTGTACAATAGCATTATGTCTAAAAAAACAATCCACATGTTAATTAAAAAATACTTTTGCTAAAAAATGCTAACCATCATCTGAGCCTTCAGCAAGTTGTAATTGTTTTGCTGGTGGAGGGTTTTGCCTCCATGTTGTTGGCTGCTGGCTGATCAGGGTGGTGGTTGCTGAAAGTTGGGGTGGCTGTGGCAGTTTCTTAAAATAAGACAGCAGTGAAGTTTGCCACATTGATTGACTCTTCCTTTCATGAATGATTTCTTTGTAGCATGTGATGCTGTTTGATAGCATTTTACCCACAGTAGAACTTCTTTCAAAATTGGAGTCAGTCCTCTCAAACTCTGCTGCTGCTTTAACAACTAAATTTATGTAATATTCTAAATCCTTTGTTGTCATTTTCAACATCTTCAACAGGAGTAGATTCCATCTCAAGAAACCACTTTCTTTGCCCATCCGTAAGAAGCAACTCCTCATCTGTTAAAGTTTTAACATGAGATGACAGCAATTCAGTCACATCTTCAGGCTCTACTTCTAATTCTAGTTCTCTTGCTGCTTCTACCACATCTGCAGTTACTTCCTCCACTGAAGTCTTGAACCCCTCGAAGTCATCCATGAGGGTTGGAATCAGCTTCTCTAAACGCCTGTTAATGTTGATATTTTGACCTCTTCTCATGAATCAAATGTTCTTAATGGCATCTAGAATGGTGAATCCTTTCCAGAAGGTTTTCAGTTTACTTTGCCCATATCCATCAGAGGAATCACTGTCTGTGCAGCTATAGCTTTACAAAATGTTTTTCTTAAATAATAAAGCTTGAAAGTCATAATTACTCCTTGATCCACGGGCTGCAGAATGGATGTTGTGTTAGCAGGCATGAAAACAACATTAATCTGGTTGTACATCTCCGTTAGAGCTCTTGGGTGACCAGGTGCATTGTCAATGAGCAGTAATATTTTGAAAGGAACCTTTTTTCTTCTTCTTCTTTTTTTTTTTTTTGTGAGGAAGATCAGCCCTGAGCTAACATCCATGCTAATCCTCCTTTTTGCTGAGGAAGACCGGTTCTGAGCTAACATCTGTTGCCAATCCTCCTCCTTTTTTTTTTTTTCCCCCCAAAGCCCCAGTAGATAGTTGTATGTCATACTTGCACATCCTTCTAGTTGCTGTATGTGGGACGCGGCCTCAGCGTGGCCGGAGAAGTGGTGCGTTGGTGCGCACCCAGGATCCGAACCCCGGGCCGCCAGTAGTGGAGCGCGCACACTTAACTGCTAAGCCATGGGCCGGCCCAGGAATCTTTTTTTCTGAGCAGTAGTTCTCATTAGTGGCCTTAAAATATATAGTCAACCATATTGTAAATAGATGTGCTGTCATCCAGACTTTGTTGTTCTATTGTAGAGCACAGGCAGAGTAGATTTAGTGTAGTAATTGTTAAGGGCCCTAGAATTTTCAGAATAGTAAGTGAGCATTAGCTTCAACTTAAAGTCACCAGCTGCATTAGCCCCTAACAAGAGAGTCACCCTGTCTTTTGAAGCCAGGCATTGATTTCTCTCTAGCTGTGAAAGTCCTAGATGATATCTTCTCCCAATATAAGGCTGTTTTGTCTATGCTGAAAATCCGTTGTGTAGTGTAGCTAACTTCGTTAATTATCTGGATAATTTGCTGTAGCTTCTATATCAGCATTTGCTGCTTCACCTTGCACTTCTATGTTATGGAGATGGCTTCTTGCTTTAAACCTCATGAACCAACTTCTGCTAGCTTTGGACTTTTCTTCTGCAGCTTCCTCACCTCTCTTAGCCTTCATAGAATTGAAGAGAGTTAGGGCTTTGCTCTGGATTAGGCTTTGGCTTAAAGGAATGTTGTGGCTGGTTTGACCTATCCAGACCATTAAAAGCTTTCTCCATATTAGTAATGAGGCTGTTTCACTCTCTTCTCATTTGTGTGTTCACTGGAGTAGCACTTTTGCTGAGGAAGATTGGCCCTGGGCTCACATCCATGCCCATCTTCCTCTACTTTATATGGGATGCTGCCATGGCATGGCTTGACAAGCAGTGTGTCGGTCTGCGCCCGGGATCTGAATCTGCAAACCCCAGGCAGCTGAAGCGGAGTGCACAAACTTAACCGCTATGCCACCAGGCCGGCCCCTGGAGTAGCACTTTTAATTTCCTTCAAGAACTCTTCCTTTGCATTCACTTGGCTAACCGGTACAAGAGGCCTAGCTTTAACCTGTCTTGGCTTTCGACATGCCTTCTTCACTCGGCTTAATCATTTCTAGCTTTTGATTTAAAATGAGAGACATACAACTCTTCCTTTCACTTGAACACTTAGAGGCCATTGTAGGGTTATTAATTGGCCTAATTTTAACATTGTTGTTTCTCAGGGAATAGGGAGGCCTGAGGAGAGAGAGAGAAATGGGGGAACGGCCATTCAGTGGAGCAGTCAGACCATACACAACATTTATCAATTAAGTTTGCCATCTTATATGGACGTGGTTCATGGCACCCCAAAACAATTACAATGGTGACATCAAAGATCACTGATCGCAAATCACCATAACAAATATAGTAATAATGAAAATGTTTGAAATATTGCGAGAATTACCAAAATGTGATACAGAGACATGGAGTGAGCAGATGCCATTGGAAAAATGATGCTGATAAACTTGCTTGACACAGGGTTGTCACAAACCTTCAGTGTGTAAAAAAACATAATATCTGCAACACGCAGTAAAGCTAAGTGCAACAAAACGAGGTATGCCCGTACTTAGATCTTTTTTGGAAATTTTTAGCTCTTCCATATTCAGTCCAGCTTCTAATACTCTGTTGGGATCCCATATTTAATTATAGTTATAGAGAGAGGCAGGAGGCGTAAAATAATGCATAATTGAAAAAAATCTAAATTATATGTGCATATCTTCTTCAAGAAAAAGGATATTGTAAATTAACTTTTCTTACTAACACAAAAATGGTTAAGCCTCAGTCTAAAACAGGAAAATAAAGTTTCTGTAATTGATGAGTGAAGGAATACACAGGACTTGGCAGAATTCAGGGACTATTGCTTTTTGTAATCTGAGTTTTGTTTTATTTTTTGATATTTGGTTCATTTTCCATAAACTTTCAAATGCTCTCAACAACTCTCAAACATGGCCCACATAGGTCTCGTCTCACATAACATGCTTTTTAATGTGCCTAAATGTAGTATAGCTTGGAGGCCCTAATATATTCATACAGCAATGTTTTTTATTATGTGAAGGCATTGGTAGACACTGGGGATGTAGTGATGAGTAAAACAGATACAAGTCCTGCCTTTACTGAACTTACAGTCTGAGAGTGAAGTCAGACTTTTAACAAATAATCTAATGTACATGTGTGTGCATATACACATTTTTTTTATATTCAGTGTAGCTTCTCATGTTCTGTTGGAATACCATAGGTAATTATGCATATGTAGACACATATGCACACACACTTATATACCCCCCACCTATACACACACTCCCCCGTACCCCGTCATATACATACATATATATACACGCATCCAACATGAGTAAATGTAAGAAGGAACATAGCATGTTAGAGGAACTGAAGGATGTCCAGTGTGATTAGGGTGGAAAGGGTAAGGAGGCAGTAGTTGGGAGAGACTAGATATTGCAAGAGTAAGTGTTTGTGACTTGATAATTAGGAAGTGGTTGTATTCATCATTTTCTCTAGGTGGATGAGAGCCCTGATTTTGAAATACACATAACAATGTGTGATGATGATCCACCCACACCCGAGGAAGACTCAGAAACACAGCCTGATGAGGAGGAGGAGGAAGAAGAAGAAGCAAAAGTTTCTCCATCAGAGGTGGGAGCTGCCATTAAGATCATCCGGCAGTTAATGGAAAAGTTTAACTTGGATCTGTCAACAGTTACACAGGCCTTCCTAAAAAATAGTGGTGAGCTGGAGGCTACTTGCTCGTTTTTAGAGTCTGGTCAGAGGGCTGATGGGTATCCCATTTGGTCCCGACAGGATGACTTAGATTTACAAAAAGATGATGAGGCTGCCCGAGATGCACTGGTCAAAAAATTTGGTGCTCAGAATGTAGCTCGAAGGATTGAATTCCGGAAGAAATAATTGGCAAGATAATGTGCAAAGAAAAAGGGTGTGGCAGAGTAGATGGTTAAAAAAAGATTTGTGACTGTTGAACTTTAGAGATTCTTACATTGGAACTGACACTTGTCTTTTGACCAATATTGTCATTGCTCTTTGAGTCCTAGATTTTGTAGCCAAGCAGAGTTGTGTAGGAGGATAAAAATAAAGGAAATTGGATATATTTAGAGCTGTCCTTGGCAGTATCAGTGTGTTTATGAAAGGAAAATCTAAACTAGAGAGAGCTTGGTCTACATAGTAGTAATCTTTTTCTGGAATGGAACCCTTGCTATATTGGTGACAGGAGCTAGTGACAAAGTCAAAGGAGGAAAATTAGGAGGCAGATCTTTTCAGGCAGCATGAATAAAGAGCCTCCTATCTTTTGGCAGCAGCTCCTCTAGATTGTGATAGATTCCAAATCAAGAATCTAGACATACGGAAAGATTTCATCACAAGGCCTTGAACTATCCCAAACCCTGGTATCCCCTATTGAGCTCTGATTTCTAGACTGCTTTGAAAACTTCATATTCCCTTTGTTACCTTAATATTTGGGGACCCTGCTTTTGCCTGTTTTTTTTTCTTCGAGTCCTTGTCAGTCATGTCTCTAGCATGTGTTTCTTTACTTACCACCCAGTTTGTTTAAAATACACAAACCCTAGAGAGTCTGAAGAACAGTTCTACTTGGTTACTAGTAATGTGTTTTTATTTATCGAGGATAGTTTTGTGCTAAAGACCGTGTTAGATTTAAACATTAGTGGATTTAATTCCTCTTTGTTGTGTTGCTTTCATTATTGAAAATAAATAGAACTTTGTATTTGAGTTTCTAACAAGTGTTTTCTTTGATTGTATTCACACAACCTTTTATGTATAAAATCCATAAAGGAACCAACATTTCTGGTTCTTATTAATTAGAACCAGTAAAGTGGTTCCATTTTAGAACTAATAGGCCATTAGAAAGATGCTAGATCTTCTAGATGGAGCAAAGAGAAGATCTGTGTCAAGGACTGTGAAAGTTGGCAAAATAAGGTGAACTGCTTACAGGGCCGGCCCTGTGGCTTGGTGGTTAAGTGCGTGCGCTGCGATGCTGGTGGCCCGGGTTCGGATCCCGGGTGCGCATCGAGGCACCGCTTCTCCGTTCATCCTGAGGCTGAGTCCCACATACA